GATGGCACTTGCATTTTCATATTTTTTAATTTTATTTTATTTTCTGTTAATCTTTATTATATTTTATAAATATTGGACTGCGACAGACTGGAAATGAAAATGGTCCCCAATGATGGCTTTAGAAGCAATGCTCAAAGTCTCTGATTAATGGCAATAATTACTTTCTGAATATTTGCATCTAGTTTCCCCAAACAGTGTGATCAGATGGTTGTTAAGTTTGAAACTGTGATCTAGTAATAGCCTTTTTCAGACTGATGTTTGTATAATAGTTGTAATGCACATTCAGTATCTACAGCCCTTTACATTACCTTTGATATGGATATGAACATATCAATACACTTGCTTAGCAACCTTTAAGTGTTTCAATGTTCTGAAGTTGTATTAACTATTAAGAAGTAAATGAGTGCCAATAAATCATCTTTTGGCAGTTTAAATACTAAAAGAACTGGAAAAAGGGAGAGAGTTATTTGAAGAAAAAAATGAGTTATTTATATATTCTTGGTTAAAATGACAAGTTTTGCTCCCATTAGCAATAGAGAGAATACGTTTCTAACTTTCTCATGAGTTTTGACAAAACCAAATAATACATCAAGAAATCCCTGTACAGATAAAAAGATGTAGAAACAGACTAAAATGGAAGAGCTATAATGACATAGACAATTAAATATAATAGATGTATCAATTATAGTCATATGCTTTTACAAACTAGTACACACTATGCAATATTTATTCAGTGCCTATGTATGGAATGTTAGCTAAGGCTGGAAACTCTTTTTTTAATATATATATATATATATATATATATATATATATATATATATATATAAAACCTTCACTCTGTAAGTCAAATTAATTGTTGAACAGACAAAAGTGAATAAAACCAGGAATTCAAAGATGTTAATTTTGTCTGTACCAATATTCAGTTTGAACACAAACTACTGTTTACTAGTCACTGAATTTTAAGAGTCAAAGTTGTGTCATAAATTGGTTAAAAAAAATTGGACTAACTAATAAAGGCTCTATCTCTTTCTAGCCTGTTACTAACTAGTTGAATGTCCTTGGCTAAGTAACTACCAGGCCTCTAGCTTTTGTTGAAGGATAAGATTGGACAAGATGCTCCCTCATGTACATTCTGAAGCTATATGTTCCTCTAAAATTGGGTCAAGAAAAAATTTTCAAGTCTTTTGAGATTATAGTTCTCACATGAAATTTCTTCTGAAAAGTTAAAATTGTTCATTGGTTCATAGCACCAATCTACCTTTTGAAAATGATAATCTATTTCAGAAAATTCTGATGTGTAAGTAAAATTGAAAGTAGAAATATGAGGCTACATAGTATTTTAAAGTTCATTCTGTGCAGAACTTAATTCTATTATCAACCAATATATTCAAGGCTAATACTGCATTTCAAAGGACAGAATTACTTAATGAATAACACTGCCCAAAGCCCTGTTCTTTCTGTGCATACAAATTAAGGAATGAGGCCATCTAATGCTATAATGTCTCTGAGAATACAAATTAAGGAGTTGGCCTTGCTTGAATTTGGATTCAGAAAATAGCTTACTGGGCCTTGTATGCTAGGCACTGCGTGTTTATGGTACATCATTTTGAGTAGCTGCAATGCATTCAATACATAGGGAATTTGGAATTGGATTTGAACTAGGATAGATTGGTGTATTGCAGCCTGGAGAAAATGACAAAATCAGTAGAGCATCAGGACCATGAGGTATAGTTATTTAGTGTCATTAAGGGCAGAGGGGTGGCAAGTACTGGACATGGAAAGCCTGCCATGTGCTGTGGCCTCCTGGTGTGGTGGGTACAGGATTAGCACAGGAACACCTAAGCTGTGGGGCTTGTATTTCTCCATGTATATCTTGGGGAACATGATCTAGGCATGCATGACTCAGAAATCATATTAGAAAAATCAATTCTTTTTCACGCCTGATTCTTCCCAGTTTAAAAAGCAAAGCAAAACAAAATCTCAGTCTGGTGCTAATGTGCTTCTAATACCTCTCTTAATTAAGAACTCCCTTTATAACAAAGAGAGAGGCAACCAGGAGTGTCAAAGCCTTCTGCAAACAAACAGTATCAGGCTACAATTTAATAACATTAATTTGTTCCCTGTTCTTATGGTAACCTTCTATTTATGGCAAGTGATACAGTATTCAAAAGGTATTTTTGAAACATAAAGTGTGTTTTTGAATGAGTTTATTTAGATCCTAAAGGTATGTTGATTTAGAGCAAAGTTCTAAATAAAATATATATGGCAGGCAAAAATTTCTATGATCTGATATGCAAATGATTGAGTTTGGGAAATGTGGGCTTGTATACAATACACTGAATTGGAGGGCAGGAAACTTGGTTTGAAAGTCAAATTCTAACTCTGTCGCTAATTATCAGATTGTCCTTGGGCAAGACGATGAATCTTTCATGCCTCCATTTTCTCATTATCCAAAATATGTGATGATATTTGCCAAGCTACCTTTGCAGTAATGATGTGAAGATTAAAATTAAGTGATGGGTAGTAAAATATTGTAAAAGCTGAAAGTTTTATGTACATAAGGTTCATTATTATGTATCTGAAACATTGCTTTTATCTTTTTTTCTTTTTCACCACTCCAGCCAAAAGGAGGAGAGAGAGAGAGAGAGAGAGAGAGAGAGAGAGAGAAAGGACAATATGATCTCTGTTTTCTTTGGTGTTTGTGTGTGGTGGTGGAGAAACAGGGAAAGAAAGTGAGATAATGGCTTCAGTTGTACATTTTCTATATAAAATACCTTCCCAAATATTAATGTTGTAGTTATTTTTCTCATGGTGATAAAAAGCTTGAAAAGTTAATTATGTTTTAAAATGAACCCAATAATAGATCTTATTCATCTCATGGCTTAATAAAAATATTATGACCTATCTGAATATTTAGAGCTGTGAAAAATAATAGAATTTCATTTTGCACCAAAATTATTTCTTGACCTAAAAGAATATTTAGAATCCTGTTTATTATAATTTTCCTTGTGTTTAAAACTGCAAATTTTCTAATAATATGACCTAATCTCACAGCAAAAAAAAGATTACTTCATAATGCCATTTCCTGTTGGTGTCAAAATTTCATTTTACAATTTAATCTCTTGTTTATCCTTGAAATTAAGGTTGTTATTTTGGTTAAAATATAATGGTTTAATTAAATGTCTGATATATTTTGATATTAATGATTAATAATTTAATTATGGCTGAGTTTTATTTTGACAATACAACTAAGTTTCAAAATCCATAAAATGAACCTTCAATTTAGTAATTCATGTATGATCTCAGAATATTCATGCATACAAATAATGCTAACAGATTTCTTGGTTTCCCTTTCTATGAAGCAAAGCTTATTTAAGCATTATTACCCCTGAATTAGAAATGATAGACATAATGACCTCATTTGTACAGAAAATTCATGCTTGGTCTAGGAGAGAAGTTCTTAAACTCGTGCAGCTGTCAGAGTCACCTGGAGGGCCTGTCAAAACATGTATAGACTGTGTGGCCCACACTCAGAGTTTCTGAATCAGTAGTTGCAGTGGAGCCTGAGAGTCCATGTTTCTAACATGGACCCTCTGTCCTTGTTTCCAAAAGCTCAGTTTCTAACTGTGACACTGGTGCCCTAGTTCTGGGGCCACAGTGCAAGACCCACTTATTAGTGGAAGGCAGTATGGCAAAACAATGGGCACAGATATCTGTGTGGCATTGATAGAGTGTGTTTTATAACGTGGATAAATTAGGGATATTTTTTGTCATCTGTAAGATGGTAATTATATTTATTGGAAATATTCAGTGAAATAATGCATCATAAGTTCTTAGAACAATGCCTCACTAAATGCGGCACCAGTATTTAGATTGATGGTAGTTAGAATGGTAGAAGTAAAGTTCAAAGTTAGTGTAACAGAGTACCGTAGCCCTTCACCCATGGTTTTGCCTTTGGGGACTTTAACTAACATGGTCAACCAGACTGAAAATATTAAATGGAAAATTCTAGAAATAATTTCATAACAACATCTGTAAGTTGTAAATGGACACCATTCTGAACACATAATGTAATCTCACAATGTCCTGCTATGGCTGCAATGCACCCCTTTGTCCAGGGAACCCATGCTATGTACCCTCCTCACCCATGGTCACTTAGTGACCATCTCAGGTATCAGGTCAAGTGCTGTAGTACTATGGGGCTTCAGTTCAGGTAATTCTCATTTTACTTAATCATGGCCCCAGAGTACAAAAATCATGATGCTGGCAACTCAGACCAAAAGAAGCTGCAATGTGGGCTTTAAGTGAAAAGGTAAAGGCCCACAACTTAAAGGGAAAAATGTAATGAGGTTGTGAAAATCTTAGGTAAAAATGAATTTTTCGTTCATGAAACTGTGAAGAAGGAAAAGCAAGTTCATGCTAGTTTTGCTGTTGAACCTCATTCTGCAAAAGTGAAGGACATGGTGAATGACAAGCACTTATTTAAGATGGAAAAATCATTAAACCATAGTGTTCAATAGCATCTGTGGTTTCAGGTATCCATTGGTAGTCTTGAAATGGATTCCTTTAAGACAAGAGAGGATGATTATATTCATATTTACTTTAGTTCAGTTATAATAAAAGTCTAATAGTCTTTTGTAAAGAAGACTAGACAGAATGCTTGGCTTTGGATTATGACATTATTTCTATGAGAAACATTTTGCACAGGAAGAAAATCTAGTAAAAAGAAGTAGTGACCAGGTATGGCAGTACACACCTGTAATCCCAGAACTCTGGAGGCTGAAGCAAGAGGATCGTGAGTTCCAAGCCAGCCTGGGATATTCAATGAGTTTCTCTCAAAACAATCAACAAAAAGATAGAGGTAGTGCCTCTAGGAAAAGCACTTTCAAGAGTATGTTAGAGATTCTAGTTTGCAGTTTAAGCGAAAGTATCTCCATCTATGTAATGTTTCTCAATATTCAGAATTTACTGTATTTGGTTTTTGTTTTTCCTTCTCTTAGCAACAAGAGCAAGACCCAACAAATCTCTACATCTCAAACCTCCCCATTTCTATGGATGAGCAGGAACTTGAGAATATGTTGAAACCCTTCGGACATGTCATTTCCACAAGAATACTGAGAGACGCTAATGGAGTCAGCAGGGGCGTGGGCTTTGCCAGGTAAAGCTCTCTCTCCTCATGTCACCTGTGTATAACCTGTCATTCCCCATTGTTCTTTTTAAATTCCTTTCCTTTCTAATACTAAGACCCAAGCCAAAAGAATATACAAAATAAAATAAAATAAAGGTCACTTATCAAATCTGTTATCTCTTTGCATCAAGCCAAATAAGCCAGTGGAATTATAAGTGTTTTGTGCTTCCTAAAATATGTACATAGACTGTGTGTATGTGTCTCTAGTCATAATGATATGCTTGCCCAGTTCCCAGTCTTTTCTGTGCTTGTCGATCAGCAACATCAGATGGCTCCAGTTCCAGCCAGGAATAATAAGTGCCCAGCAGCCTAAAGCAAAAGAACCTATGTGCTAAGCAACGTGTCCACAAGTTTTTGCATTGATTTCCAAAGCAAGGAGATGGTAGAGTTCTCAGTAATGAAAAGACAGAAGATTTAGAGAAGCAACCATTGTTAGGAAGTCCCAATTTGCTGAGAAATACGAGGTGAGGTCACGGAGGTGTTTGTCTATAAAAGGCACTAGCTGTGTGTTTTTGGTATTTTAGGCAGAACAACAACAACGAAAAAAGCAAATTGTATTTCTTTCATTGTCAGAAAAGAAAGAGTAGTTTTCATTTTAACTTTAAGGGAATGTTTACAAAAGAGGATCTCAGCCAGGGATGAAGTTAAAATGGTTGAACTTGCTGTGCTGTCATGAAAAACAAAGCTAAAGAAACTGCAAAGAAAAAGAAACTGCTTAATGACACAAAAAAAGAAAATTAAAATCCATGTCTTCATAGCTTGGTGTGTTTCTGTGTGTCTAAAATAGATGACTATTAGGTGTCATCTGGAACTCAGGACAGTGCAGACATGTGTGTCCACTTAGGATGAACCCTGCCATTGAGCAGAAAACCATTCTGAAGTAAACTCAAAGTCACTTTGAAGACAACAAATGGAATGTAAATGTTAACTGATCTCTATTTTAACTTTCATGAGGCCATGGACCAGTCTTACAAGTGTTATTATTCTCCAGAATGTTTTACACATAGCAGACCAATGGACAGGCAAAGTTCAAGACTGATGGTTAGAATAAAGATAGACTAAGAAAACCTCCCTAACTTGAATGTGTGCCTGAGGTGTTCAGGCCTTCAGAGCGTTGACTGTTGAGTTTCACTCAAGGCAGAGCCCATGACACTGGTAGGTCTCTCTGTGTCATTCTGAGCAAGCAACTATCAAAGGCCTATGCAATGGGAGGTTTGCCAGAATGACTACCATGTTGGCTTAACACAACAAGCACATTCCTTCAGTTCTTTCCGCCCCCCCAGACCTGTCTTCCAAAACTCTCTAATAAATTAGTTTGTCCTTTGTTTGTACTCTTGCTGGGAAATAAATGCACTTCAAATTCAGCCAGAGAACACATTTTCTAGGATGTATTGTGATTTTTTTTTTTGGAAGGGGGGGTGCAGTATACAACATATGTTAGTTTTCAAGGTTGCTATAACAAAATGTCACAAACTGAGTGGCTTAAATAACCAAAGATTTATTTTCTCATGATTCTGGAGGCTAGAAATCAGAGAGCATGGTGTCCATGGGTTGTTTCTTGTGCAGCCTTCTCTTCAGTGTATAGCTGCTGTCTACTTCTCAGGGTCATTCTGAGGGAGGGCCTTGTTTTAACTTAGTTACCTCTTTAAGTCCTGTCTCCAGAGGCATTCATGTTCTGAGTTACTGAGAGTGAGAACAACAACAGATGAGCTGGGGTGGAAGGAGGGCAGCAATTCAACTCCTCGTGCACAGCTTGGGCTATTTACTTCTCATGTTGAACCTTGCTGTGTACTTGAGTTTGCTTAAAGGGAAGTATATTCTTCTAATTTTCAGAGTCACAGAACATATATTGTAAGATCTAAATTGTAATTATGGTACATTATGCCATGAAAGAGCAAACCATATGTTATTTTTCTTTAGGAACTGAGGAAGGGTCAAATTTTAAAACTGTATTTAATCCCTGCTTTGAACGCAGCCATTTCCTTGCCCAGTGTATTTTGCATACAGAAGTCACAGTGAACCCTTAAAAATTCAAATCTGATCCTGTCAGAGTCCTGCATACAGTCCCTTCAATGTGGCCTGACAGATTTCACTTTTCTGGCCTCTCTAGCATCAGCCTTGGTATCACTTACTTTCCTGGTTGTGGCTCTTTGTGCCTCATGACCACGGCACAGGCTGCCCCTCTTGATGGGTTTCAGTCTCCACTACCATTTCCCTGCCTTCTGCCAATTCAGCTCGCAAGTGTTGACTTGAACATTTTTCTTCAAAGACTCCTTCCCTGACCTCCAACCCTGACTGCAGTCAAAGTTAGGTGTCTTGTTACAACTCTTAGAAAATTTTATCTTTTTCAAATAAAATTTATCATAACTGCATTGAATTATTTAACTTCAGAATTATTTAACTGGGTTGCATGATGGTTTCCTTCTTCTCTGTTAGATGGATAGGGGTTAGGTAAGTGGATGGTGGATTTCATAATTACCATTCTGTGAAGTTCCTGAACAGCTAAGTTCAATGGTCTTACAACTTTGAGCTCTGCATTCCTACACTAAAACTTAAGTTTCTGTGTGCTGAATCTTATATTTCCCAACTTCAGAAAATGGCAAGTGGATTGAGAAGGAAAATAGGTTCAAGTAGAACCAATAACTTCTTATGCTTAAGAAAAGAAAGAAAATGTGAATCTGTCCTCATTTTTGAGAAACCTGGAAACTGACACAGAATGAATACTTCATTCTCCATGAATCTTAGGTTTTAGGATCTACCATGATTAACCTAATTTGATGGGAGGAGAAAACAATTTTAGCTGTACTATGTGTAAGTAATTCTGTCCAAATTCCTACTTCCTCAAACTTTTTTGTTCTATACTTTCTCAAACAGTTATGGCTATTGCTGTAATTAGCTTGACTATTCACCACTTAAACTTTGCCCATTGGTCCATCTTTTTAAGAGCTCATCCCCTCCCTTCCCCCACTCATTCTTTTATCTAGAGCTCTCTGAACCACAGAACAGAGACAGTGATTTGAGTTATAATATTCTTGATTCTTGATAGTACATAACAAGTGCAAAAAGTTACTGGACTGCATGCAGATGTTTAGGACAGTGGTTCTCAAGGTACTTCTCCCAGATTAGTGCCTTCACCATCACCTGAGAGCTTGTTAGAAATGCAAAATTTGTGTCCAGCATGGGCAGCAATCTGTAAACTGTACTCACAAGCACTTCGGGTGCCTCTGAGTACTCGCCTTGGGCATTGTGACTGGCTCTCAGCATCATCTGGCAGATTTATAGAAACTCAGATTGCCAGGCCATACACTCAGAATCTGATTCAGCAGGTCTGTGATGGGACCCTATCACTGAGTGTTTCTAACAAGCTCCAGGTGATGCTGCCACTGCTGGCATGAGAGAAAGTCTTCCACTTTTCTAGATGGAAGTAGGTCCTGCTGCTGCTCTGTCATACTTCATATCACTTTTTCGAATGTGCCAGTCAGAAATGCATCTCTCTTCCTGTCCCTCAGGGTGGAAAGGTAACTTATTCTTCTTCCTACTTATTCCAGCACCTAGAATCTGGTCTCACACACAACAGATATTCAAGTACATTTTTGACAATGATTAAAATTTCCTTCTTTTTAATTTTTGTTTGTTTTGATTATAACAACATTTGACAATGATGATCCAATTCTGAGACAAGAAATCTGAAATATTAGAGAAAACTACAGTAGCATCAGCTCAATTCAATTCATAAATTGTTCCTTTCTCTAAAAATTCACAGTGCTACCAGCATTATTAAGGGGATATGCTAGTTCAGCTGAGAGAACCAGAAGCCTGTAAGCATTTCTAGTAAGTTGCTGTGCATGTCTCTTGAATTTATCACTATCTGAGTTATCAACAACCTGAATAATACTTTCAGTAAGCTTCATTTTGAGTATTATCATTGGTTACTTCTAACCACTAGGTGTGTAAGAGATCCTAAAATTTCTTTAACTAGAAAGAAAATCCCCCATTATTATTTTACTGGCAAGCTATACATTAATCTTCTTTGGTAACTATCTCTTCAAAGTGAAAGGAGTATCTTCATTTTATATTTAAAACACTGAACATCAAAGCATTGATCTGAATGCCAGTAGGGCACATAGACAGCACAATTAAAGCATTTTCAAAGTTCTAGATATTGTTTAAAATGACAGACATTTCATTTTATTTTATTTTTGTGGGTTTTTTTAAAATTCTTTTGTAACTTAAAACAATTTGGTAAAATCTACCACCCTCCAGGCAGCATTTTACAGCCAAGTCATAAACGTCTAAAAACAGAAGTTTATGGTGGGAATGCTGACAGTTGGACTGACTCCTGCAGAGCTAGCAAGTGCCACAGACCACCTTGCCTGGGAGGGGGAGGACCAGGATATAAATCAGCCAGAGTCTGGAGGGACATGATTGTGTGTTCATGCTATTCATTTCCTATTCCCAGAAACATGAGACCATTTGTCCAGCAAAAATCACATCACAAGAGTGTTATGAGAGGCCGGTAAAGAATGACCCAAAGTGGAAAAGGAATGGGGGTGAGCATTCACAATTATCCAGCTTCAACATCTGGGAACATAGAACTGCTTTAAGAAATGCATTTACTGTCCCCCAGTGAGCTAAAGAGAGCGTGAGAGACCGCTGAACACAGAGACCTTTGTGTTTGGTACTATTTCTCATCCCTCTTCAGTACTCTTAATTTGATTCTCACGGAGATTTGTTTGAATATAGGCAGAGCCCTGTGTCCCACCTCTCCGTCCTGAATGAGCGAGTTCTCTAAGTCAGTCATCGCAGTTCTTTATTTTCACTAAGTAAAAAAAAAAAATAGTAATGTTGGTTATAGGCAAATACTAGCCTGATTATTAAAAATCAATATAAGTAACAGGTTAAAATATTTTTTTGGTGTTTTCTAATTTTTATTTGGCAGTACAGGTTTGAACTCAGGGTCTTGAGCTTGA